GGCTGAGGCAGGAGGAAGCTCCAGGGCAGGGAAGGTTATGAGCTCAGTGGCAGCCATGTTTGGGTATCTGTGAGGATGGATGTCCAGCGTGCATTTGCGCAGGAGCTTGGCACTCAGGGGAGGGCTGGAAGAAGGGTTTTGGGTGGTCAGCCAGAAACAGCAACGAGAGCCCCAGGAGGGTGATAATAACCCGGAAGCAAGGAACAACCAAACTGAGAGAGTGAGAGAAGGGAGAAAGCCAGGTCCATGCTCCAGAGGGAACAGGGTGACTGCCCAGGTATCCAAGCTAGGTGGGCTCTTTGGAGCATTCACAACAGGGGCCAGTCCCCCGTGACCTCATCCATTTGATTCAGTCTTTCTTCTCTGAAGGGGGGGGTTTCTCTGCCAAGCGCTCCATGTTGTCTTGCACACACAGAGAGGTGGTATAGCTTCAAACCGTGGTTCTCAAATTTGAGAGTATATCAGAATCATCTAGAGGACTTACTAAAAACACAGGTTGCTGAGCCCCACCTCCAGAATTTCTGATTCAGTTGGTCTTGGGTTCACAGGCCCAAAAATGTGCATTTATAGCAACTTCTCAGGTAATACTGATGATGCTGGTCTGGGGGCCAAACTACGAGGACCACTGGCTTAAAAGATGAGTTCCAATCCTGACTTTAACATTTCCAGTGAGCCCTCAACCTCTTCATCTATAAAATGGGATAATACTTACCTCACATGGGGCACCTGGGTGGCTCAGTTGGTTAAGCGACTGCCTTCGGCTCAGGTCATGATCCTTCATGATCCTTGAGTCCCGGGATCGAGTCCCACATCGAGCTCCCTGCTCAGCGGGGAGTCTGCTTCTCCCTCTGACCCTCTTCCCTCTCGTGCTCTCTATCTCTCATTCTCTCTCTCTCTCAAATAAATAAATAAAATCTTTAAAAAAAATACTTACCTCAGATGGTGGTTATGAGAATTAAATAAGGTTAAATGTGTGAAACGGTCCGCAAAGGGCTTGGCCTATATTAAGTCTTCTACGCCTGTAGCTATTATGGTAATTCTATTAAAGTAGTTTATCTCAACCAATAACAACAACAACAAAAAAATTTGACCCAGGAAACCAGTTTAATATGGAATCTTCCCCAGATAACGCACAAAGTGACATGTACAAACTGATCTTTGGCTGCCATTTTTTTTCCAAAGTATATGACTTAAAGCATTGCTTTTTAGAATTTCATGTGCATATGAACCTCCTGTGGACCCTATTAAAATGCAGATTATGGTTCAGTAGGTGTTATAGACTGAATTGTGCCCTACCCCCCAGTTTATATATTGAACATTCAATATTTTATTCCAATATATATTCAATATACACTGATACCCTACCCCCCACAGTGTGATGGTATTTAGAGGGGAGGCCTTTTGGAGGGTAATGGTTAGATGAGGTCATGAGAGTAGGACCCTCAGGATGGGATTAGTTCCCTTAGAAGAGGCACCAGAGAGCTTGTTCTCTCTCAACCACATGGAGAAAGTGGCCATCTGTGAGCCAAGAAGGACCTCACCAAAGCCCTACCAGGCTAGCAGGCTGAACTGGGACTTCGGAGTCCTCCGCCGTGAGAAAAGAAATTTCTATTATTTAAGCGCCCGGTCTACGGTATTTTGTTATGGTCTCCAGAGCAAACTAAGGCAGTAGATCTGATGTAGTGCCCAAATTTCTGCATTTCTAACCAGCTCCCAGGTAGTACAGATGCTGATGTTCACAGACCACACTTTGAGCAGCAAGGGTCTAGAACAGATTAATAGAAAGTTACCCTAAAGGCTGTGCATTTTCCCTAACGATGAGTACTTTAAATGTTCTCCTGCAAATCTACAACAGAGATCTGTTATAATCCCAGGCTTCTAATGGGTCTAGAGGCTTATTATCCCAAGCCTCTAATGGGTGTCTCCTCAGCAATCATTGTTAGATAAAGGAATGAATGAGCTAAGAGTTTTGTCTGACAGCTGGCCACCTCGCCTACTGGGAAGACCTTTGGACTTGGAAGACTTTTGGGAAATACCCAGGGTGAGTCGGGCAGCTTCTGTGAGCTGGATTTGCTCTCTGAGACCTGGGGACATTAACACTTCTCAAGGGTGTTGTAGAGATTAAATGAGGGGCACCTGGTTGGCCCGGATGGTGGAGCATGTGACTCTTGATCTCAGGGTTGTGAATTCAAGCCCTAACTTGGGGGTAGAGCTTACTTTTTTTTTTATTATTACGATGTTATGTTACTTTTTTTTTAATGTGTGTGTGTGTGTGTGTGTTTTAAGATTAAATGAGTTTGTGACCATGAATGTGCCATAAACAGCATCTGACTCACACACAGGGACACTAAAAAAAAAAGTCACAGAGCAGAGTTGAGCCCCATGAACAAGTTTCTTGGCCTCTGAAATGGAACTTATGTTGGCCTCCTCCACCTGGAGGTTCTGGGTAGCCAGTGGGGTCTGCAGCAAGCCCAGCAGGAGGAAAAGAATATGGAGGGAGAAGGGGCAAGAGATGGGAAAAAAATATGTCTTGGTATAGTTTCTATTTAATTTTATATGTTAGCTTGAGAACCACTTTTTACTTTCTGTGAATTGTGCCTGGCCTTTGCCCATTCTTTTTTAACTGTATGTTTCATTTTTTAATTATTTCTGTCATTAATCACCTGGAACATGATGTGACATACCTGGGCAGGTGCTGGAAATAGAGAGGGGACAGACCCCTTTCCTGCCCTTGGGGCTCATCCAACTTGGGATGGGGACTAAGACACCTGCGCAAATGGCCAGAACACCAGGCAGGACAAGAAGGCCAGTGAGAGATGAACAAATGCTTGGGGTGTTCAAACCATAGCAACGCCCTCTCAGCAAAACCAAATCAGTGAGTATAATAAGATGGTCTGATACAAACAGATCTGAACAGAGATCATGGGATTAGAAGCACTGAAGAGTCATGTAGGGTACAAGCTAAGCACATTATGAATTGTTTCCTGTGACTCTCAGCATTCATTCAACAAATATTTATCAAGCGCCAAATATGTGCTGAGCACTGTCTGAGGTGCTGGGGGTAGAGTAGCAACAAAACCTCTACCAAGGTGAGAAGCAAATAAACCAATAATATGTGTATATTCGTGAATACATCTAGATAAATTGTCTTAAAATATTTTTTTAAAGATTTTATTTATTTGACAGAGAGAGAGAGCAAGCACAAGAAGGGGGAGCAGCTGAGGGAGAGGGAGAAGCAGGCTCCCCACTGAGCAGGGAGCCCCCCCCTTGGGACTGGATACCAGGACCCTGGGATCATGACTTGAGCCAAAGGCAGACGCTCAACCCACTGAGCCACCAGGCATCCCCTATCTTAAAATATTATTAATTTAATTATTATTTATTAATTATTAAGAGTTTTGGGGGGCCTCATTGGCCTCACCACAATCCTGGCCCTGGATAATTACAATAATATCCACCTTGTAGGGTTGTCGAGTGAATTAAGTGAGGTAATACATAGAGCACTCGGCCCAGGGGCTGGCAACACCTGAGAACAGGCTCTCCATCCTGCAGGGTGAAGTGACTGACTGCGTTTCCGTCTTACATCCATGATACCTTCTAGTTTGTCTGAGATCAAATGAAAGAAATATTAACCACCCCAAGTAAACTGAAGTTCTCTAGGAAGGAGAATATGAAAGGCAAATGCTGACCGAGCAGCCAGCTGCAGTCTTTGCCACAAGGAAACATCAGGGGAGGGGGTTTAGGAATTGATTGGCCTTGATACCCAGAGCATCCCTGACAGTCATCTCTCCTCTGTCGTGTGCCACCACCCCTGACCAGATCTTCCACCCCCATCACCCCTGGACCAGGCCAGTAGCCTCCTAATTGCTTCTCTGATTCAGTCTGACCTGGGGATCACTTCTTCACTCAACAAACGTTTGCTGACCACCTACTACCTGCCAAGCACTAAGCTAGTGATGGGATACAGAGATAAATACTGATAAGGGTCATCTCCCTCAATGATCTCAGATTTCAAGTGGGGGAGATCAAGGATTGCCCAAAAAGGTGGTGAGTGGTGTACCTGAAACAAATTAGCAGGTGGGATGAAATGCATGAGGACTGCTAATCAGACTGGAGGTAGGCTATAGAAGGGTCTTTAAAGAAGGCTTCCAGGGGGAGGTGACACTCAAGCGGAATCCAGATATCTGCATAAGCAGCCAAGTGAGGAAGACGTGAAGGCAAACGATGTCCCAGGCGCAGGGAGCTTTACGTACGAAGCCCAAGATATGATTCATTCTCAGAAGCACGGATAGACCCAGGTACTGGAGTTTAAGAAAATCCCTCCAGCCGCCCAGCCCGGCCTCCGGATCTGACACGCCTCCTCTCTCAGCACTTTCTATGTGATCTGCCTTCCGCCTTGCAGGGAGGCTACCCTCCCCGCTCCGGGAAGCCCCTCCTCCAGACCTTCCGCTCCCCTAACTCAGAATGAGCCCCTCAACTGGCAGGTACGAAAATCGTCTCTCCGCCGGCGTAGGACCGACTTATTACGATACAGTCCAAGCGTTTCTAGTGACTACGTCTTGCGACTCTTCTTCAGGACGAACACCGCCAACAGCTCCCTTCCACAGGCCCCTATTGCCGTCACGCCCAACCCTCTTTGGTCCTGCCTTTTCTCTCCGTCTGTACACAAGTTGAGACCGAGCCTCCGCATCCCGGATTCAATGCCCCGCGCTAACGGTCAGCCCGCTGTGGCCACGCCTCCCAGGGCGGGGGAAAAGGCGGGCCATTCAAATTAGATATGGCGTTACAGAGAGAGCGAGCGAGAGAGACAGACAGACGTAGTAACGACAGACGCACCAATCTTAAAATGTAGAGAACTAAAAACTCTGCACCAGGGCGGTGACTGCCATAGCACTGTCCGAGAAGCGAGGGAAGTGAGCGGTGGGATGAGCGCGACTTGGCTCACCGTGAGTGCGATATGGCTGGCGGCGCGGCGGTGGCGGCGAGGGGGGTGAAGGGGTATCCGTTTTCGGCGTTTTGGCTGAGATCAAGTATAATATTGGCTCTTATCAGTTTAATATTTGGTATGTTCTCTGTTCACGAACAATATGTTAAGTGGGTTTGTGGAGTAGGGAGATGGGAGAGTGGCTTGTTCCATCCAGCTTGCGCATCGACCTGGTGTTGCGGTGCTACCGGGCCCGGTACATCCTTCGAGGGTTAAATATACAGTGGCCAATGACAGCGTTGAGTTATCACGGCGGGCCTTTGGGGTTGTTTCTACCTAGTGTGTTCCCTCAGCACCTTCTGGGGTTTTTAACTACCCGGTTGCTCAGAGTTGTATACATTAACTATTCAGTATTGCGTTTTGAGAGGGAAGAAGTTTTGGTAGGAAACCTCAAGATCTTCTGATTTTCGCTCTCAGGCTAAACCTAGAAAGAGCTATGCCTTTTTCTAGTGGTTGATGTTAGGGTCAAACTGACAGCATTTCTTCCCTTATCTCCTTTCTCTTTCTCTCTCTCTCTCTCTCTCTCTCTCTCTCTCTCTCTCTCTCCCCCTTCCCTTCTCTCCTTTCTGTTCTATCCAGTCTAGCGGGACACCTGAGTCTGTCTCCAACTCTAGTTAGCTTGAAGCTCTTTCTAAAGCTCATTTTTCTCATCTGCTGAACAGGGATCAGTTTGACCCACTTACAGTGTGCATGGGAACAAGGACCCACCAATAAGCAAATGTAAAACCACCAGCCAAGAAAGGGTAAGGGTCCACTTATACTGGTGGAGGGAAAAGAGGAAGAAACCTAAGAAGTTAAGAGGTGGACCTTGGCAGCCTTAGTTTCTCCAGATGTAAATACCATAAATAACACCTTCTCTTTGGGATTGTTGAAAGACCAAAAGGAAAAGGTGGGGATTAGCTGGCACACAGTGGGTGCTAAATAATGGCAGGCAAGTTTTGAAGCCCCGTCCTTGGTTGAGTCGACTGGTTTTACAGATCTAGTCTAGCTGGACACGCAACTTGCTCTCGAGCACACAAACCCTTATATTTTAGCCCCAGGATCCTGAACACGTTCGGGGTGGGAGGTTGGGGGGCAGGCACTCCGCTGGCCCACGCGTT